CCAGGCCTCACCCCGCGCCTGCCCCGGGCTGCGGGCCTCGGGCTCATCGCGCCCCACGTCTGCGCCCGGAGCCCTTCCCTGGGGAAGGAGCGGAGACGCTCCTGCCACCCCTCGGCGCGGAGGGACCGGGGATGCTCCTGCCCTCCTGTGCAGGGGATGCGGTGGCATCCCAAACATTCACGCTTGTGCCTTGGTTTAAAAACACCCGTGACCTTTGTGACCAAAGCCATCTGGCCAGTGTTGGTGCTTGAGGTCCAGCGTTTCATTTCATTAGATTCTGAGATCGGCCCTGTGAGGTCCTCCTGGACTGACACGATGTGGTACCCCGGATCCGGCGGATGTTTACTGTGTATGTCGACTCTGGCCGGGACATTCAGTCCCTTGAAAATGGACTTTCTGGGGGAAAAATGGTGTTCATGCGTGTGGAAAACTATTTTTGTTCAGTAATGGGCAGGGATTGATTAGTGCCAGCTAGTTATTGTGTCATCTGGAAGCCAAACAATTACAAAAGGAAAACAAAACCTTTTGTATGGAGAAAGCGGATTCCCAGGTTGGTATTTGTTTGGTAGCAGAGTTAGAACAATCAGTTTCCACCATCATGCCATGCAACAAATAAACCTAACAAAATAGGACCGGGAATGTGCTGATTTACAAAAGCTAGACGTGGTCTTCGTGCGTAGGTCTAGTAAACAAAACATCCCACTTTAAAAAGAAAAAAACTTACCATGAGGCTCTAAGTATAGGGATGAGCTCTGTGTGTTTTTATACAGTACTTAAAAATATATATTGCATTAAGCTTGAGGACTCTTCCTGTGATACTTGAGCACATAGTGTGTGTTAGTTACGCTTTAAACTATTCTGTCTCCAGCTACCAGAGATGCATGTTTTTACTGTAAGTTTCTGTGCCGGAGGTGAAATGGATTCATTTAAAAATATGCTTCTGACTTAAAATTTCTGCAAAAAAGACATGAATTAGAAAACATGGTGGTCTGATCTTGGTACTTGCAAAATCTGACCAAAAAAATTAAATGAATGTGATATTTCAGTGCCAGTGGATTCGCTACTTGGAAGATTCTTTAAATTCCACCGTTCAACTTTGCAGCTTTTTAAGAGTTTTCACCAGGCATTCTTAACTTTATGCATATGTTTCGGGAGGTCCTGGGTCTCCAGAAATCGTATGCAAAACGTAGCATCTGTTTGCATTTTTTTTATGGGTAAAGAGGCCCTGTAGTCATCATCCGCTCAGAAGGAACTGAGTCCACAAAAGATGAACCACTGGCCATATCAATAATGAATAAATTTCCTGGCAGGACTTTGTGGTCCCAGCACCTGCGAGGCTGAAGAGGGTTGATGATTTGAGCCTTGGTGTCACAGACCAGCCTGGGCGTCCCAGTGAGACCCCCTCTCCAAGAAAAGTAAGGAATAAATTTCTAGTACAGTACTTGCAGAAAGTTAAAATTCTTAGGATTAGATTAGATAATTTTTATGTGCTTTGCTTGTAATTATATCTAAGCAATATTTATTATTGAGAGCACACAGAAATACTCTTTTCATGCGTTCTTATTGAAACCCCAGGAAAATGTTAATCCCATTTTACAGATGGAGAAGTAAACAGAGACACTGAAGTATTCCTGGGCCAACATTTGAGCTTGGATTGTATAAACCCACGGCCAGCACTGCTAATAACCAGGCTGTACTGGACTTTGTATCAGTGACAGCACTTAATTGATGTTGAAATGATTTAAGTGATATTTTCGATAGAAATGAAAATATATTTGAGATTATAGAGATTATATCCCACCCATAGATGCGCGGTGGAAAGATACCATAGCGGTACTGACTTCTGTTAATACAAGTCTGAAGTCACACTCTAGTAGAGCCGTCACTACAGCTTCTTTGGCAGGATCATTTGCAAGATCTCCTGTGATTACAGAGTCATTTCATCTGTTGATGTTTTAAATATTTCTATTCGTTGTATCGAAATGTGCCTTCTCAGTGTTCCCACAAAGTTCCAGTTTCCCCTTTGTATATTTGATAATTTAATATCTGCAAAATAAGTAAGAAAGAAATGGCTTTTCCTTGATTTTTTGAAGTCAGGTTTGTGCAGGTGTAATTTACATGCACTGAAAGTTCTCCAGCTGTATACAGTTGGGTAATCTTCACCGCCGGTCAGGATGTCCTGTAGGACATTTCCCTCATTCCAGAAGTCCTCTCATGCCCCTTATCCCCCTGCACCTCTGGTAACTGTTCATCTAATTAAGGTCCTTAGAGTTTTGCTTGTCTTTTCTGGTGTATCGTGTAAATGAAATCATACAGCTTGTTGCGTTTCATGCCTTCTTTCACTCAGCACGATGCTTGTTAATAGTCATTCAGCTGTTAGATGTAACACTATGTTCAATGGTGGGCTGATAAATGTTTTCACAGCCTAGCTGTCCCTCCCTCATCCTGGATTTATTTGTTCATTTGCTGTTTATTGTGCTGTGTATGCTGTCACCTAGCCTATGTTTGGGTTCTCAAACCAGCTTACACAAAAAAAATTCCCCCAAACTTATCACTGGGCTGGTACCAGCCTGTCCTCACATACCACTGTTTTTTCTTTTGCTGTTGTTGAGCAACCCTCTGTATGCGGGTACCACTGCATATCTACTCATATCAGTTGATGGACATTGAAGTTGCTCTAGGTTTCAGCCAATTATGCACAAAGATGTTATAAACTTCTGCATCAAAGTCTGTGGGAGAGACAAAAGTTTTCAGTTTTCTTGAGTTAATACCTAGGAGTGATATTATTTGGTCCTGTGATAATTATAGGTTTATCACTGTAGGTAATTTTATGGAACTCCCAAGTTATTTTCTTCAGTAGCCCATCTGTTCTGCATGTGAGAGCCCCAGTTGCCCTCCAACTTTGTCAGCACTTAGTATTGTCAGTGAATGAAATTTCAGTGATTTATTAGCTATGTATTCTATGTTTATTATGTGTCTATAGTTGTATTTATTTTCCAGTAGTGTTTGGACAAACCTAAGAAGTTTAGGATAGACATTTCCTTTTTTTTGTCTTTTTGAGACAGTCTCGCTATGCAGTTCAGGCTGGCCTTGAGCTCACTCTGTAGCCCAGGCTGGTCTCAAACTTGCCATGATCCTCCTGCCTCAGCCTCCCGAGTGCTGGGATTACAGGTATGCACCACCACACTTGGCTTAGGATAGACATTTCTAAAAAACTTTTTTTTTGTCTTGGCTGTGAGTTAAATCTTGTGATGAAGGCTCTAGTTCTTAAAGGGTATCTTTTACCTTTAGTGTTATTACATTTGCCTCTAGTGAAGGACTTCTTGGGGAATTATTCTAAGGCTTAGCTGTTATCAGTTTTTTAGTTCTCTTTTTAAAAAGCAAGAGAGTTTTAAGAAAATTTTAGAATAAATTCTCAGAAATTATCACAAAGCATTTTTATTTTCAGTTTTTTACTTGGACTTGCAAAAAGGTTCTAAGGGATTTCACCAAAGTTTTATAAACTCATTGAACTCTTTTCTGCTTAAATGTCTTGACGACTCTTTCATTGGTAACCATTCTTTCTGCAAGCGCAGTATCAAAATGTTTGAAATTTCTTGTAGGTCTAGCGTGGGCAGGGGTTGAATTAGATAGGCTCCATATGAATATTTCGTTCTTAATAGTAAAGTGCTGTGTTCCTCTCTTGGAATAACATATTATTGATGAGAAAGGGGATATGAAACACAACATTTAGAAGGTAACCTTACAGAGTAGGTAGTCACGTTGTAATTAGGAACAGGCGTAGTCCTGGGTCTGGTGCACTGCAGTCAATAAGAAGAGGTGTTTGCAGTGAACTCTGATAATTCTTATGGGATGTGGAGAATTTTTCCACTTATTGGTTCACACATTCACTATCATGTACACGAGGTGTCTTATTTGCATGGTGTGCAAGGTCACAATCATGGTGGAGCTTACAGTCCACCAGAAGAGGCTATGGCAGGGCCTCAGTTAGAGGAGGTCCCATGCTGTGGGTGCCTTGGAGGTGGGGGACACCTGGGGCCCAGGCTCCACCTCTGGCAGGACTTCCCTGCAAGAGGCACCATGTCTGCTGAGACACCTGTGGTTGGAGTGGTTGTAGTTAGGTGGCAACAGAAAGTTCAGACATCCAGAGGTGAGGGAATAGTAAACATATTGGGGTATTGCTTTCAAATAACCAAGACCTCTGTGCTTTGTGGGTTTTTTTTTGCTTCTGCTCTATCTCACTTTGTGCTTAGGAAAGTTAATGGGAAACAAAACGGGGATGGAGTTGGGAGGTAAACACGTACAATACTATGTTACCTTGGCAGGAGTTTTCGGCACTTTGCTTTTTTCTGTCATTTGTTGACTGCAGTAATCATACTGTCTTTGAATCCATACCCGGATCTTGTAAGAAGCGCGAATATAGAAATACTTGTAGCATTACTCATCATAGTTAGGTTGATTCTTTAACATTATATTGCAGATTTCTTAAGTGTGTTTAATTTTTATTGCTACCATCAGGTTTGTCAAGTTTTGACGTTCAGAGCACTGATTTTATGCTGAGGTATAAGACAGTTTTTCGTATGGAGCATCACATATTTGTAGACCAATACAGATTTGAAATAGCATGCTTGTGATGCTTACACTTTTATAGTTTAATATCAGCATGACGTCTTTTAATTTTTTTCCCAGGAGACAGAGTCTTGTTACATTGCCCACACTGATTTTGAACTCTTGGGCTCAAGTAGCTGGGTCCTCCTTAGTAATTTGAATACAGACTTGGGCCATTGCGCCTGGCCTGAGCAGTATATCTCGAAATCTCACCTTTAAAAAAAACTCAGTCCAAACCTTGCCGCTGAGCTAGAGTTGTCTGTTTAGAGGTAGTGAGACGTGTCCACTGAGACATGTCCACTGCAGCCGTGTCAACCTCAGCGTGTCCGAAACTGAGCTCGTTGTCTTTCCCCAAAGCACGTGCCCCACCTGTGTCTCAGTTGCTCAGCTCTTGGCCCCCCCCCCAAGTCCTGCTGGCCGCCCGCTCTCCACTCTCCGCAGGCCCCGCGTCCCGGTGAGCTCGGCCTACTTGTGCTGATCTTGTGAGTATTCACTCCTCTCTGTCTGTCTGCAGCCTGACTCCTCTGCAGAGGCAGCCAGTGGTGGTCTTTAAATGCTCTTGACGCGAGGCAGGCTCAGCCTCACAGCGTCACCCTGCACACTCCTCCGAGAATGATTTCTCTGTCACTCTAGCATTTTGAAAAACGTGAACTTGTCTTTGTGCTCCATCTCTGTTTTCCTCATTAGAATCCCTGAGCAGCCGCTTCTCAGGGTTGTCAAAGACCTACAAGGGTGGGGAGTCCTGGCCTGTCCAGAGTTTCTTCCAATCTGTCCCTCTGCTCCTCCAGTCCCTTTGTTCTCACCATCATATGTTCATTTTTTGTTGTTGTTGTGTTGTTAATTGCTTGTTTTTGAGACAGGGTCCTGCTTTGTAGCCCAGGCTGGCATCGAACTCACATAGATCCTCCTGCCTCAGCCTCCTGAGTGCTGGAATTGTAAGTGTGCTCCACCACGCCCGGCCATCATTTGTTCATTTTTAGAGAGAAGCCGGAGTGTGCTGCGTGCTCTGTATGATGCTGGGTGGCGAGAGCTTTGGTGCTGGCTCAAGGTGTAGATGAGGAGGCCACACTTGATAGTGAGGCTGCCGGGGACTGTCATTGTTATAGATCATGATGGATACGCGTCTGTCCTGCCGTGGTGCCACTGTCAGCTCTACCCTGCCACAGTGTGGTCTAAGTACCACGGGGTAGGGGAGGCTGAGCAAAGTAGGAAGCAGCCTAGGGTGCCAGGGCTGGGCGGCTTGGCCCCTGCGGCCTATGTGGGAAGGTCTCTGCTAAGGTGACACTGGGCAGAGTGGGAGGAGCTGGGGGCATGACCGGTGCTGAGTGGGTGCTGAGCCCCCGGCTGAGGGTGCTTGCTGTTCCGAGGGCGGAAGGCCCGGGAGGCTGTGGGGTGGTGGTATCGTAGCCTGGGCGCTGTGGGACCCTGGCTTCTGAGCTCAGTGAATGTGGGGCCCGCCATGTCCCATCTTCTCCCTGCAGTTCTAAATGCACCTTCTGTCTGGCCCGGCTTGCCGCCTCCCGAGCAGGGCCTGGGCTGCTCCTCCGGAGTTCCCTGAGACCCTGCCTGGGACTTCAGGTCGGGCACTCTCCAGCATTCCAGGCTAAGGCTGGAGGGGAGGGGCTGGCTCCCTTCGGCCTCCCTTCTTGACTTGAGTCCTGTTTCATTGGTGTTTGTCGAGCTGTGGGGTCACTGTACGTGGGATTCATTACTGCAGACTGGGGAGAAGATGCCGGCAGTGGCGTGGAGTGGCTGCTGGCTCTTGTGGACGTGTGCTGCTTTGCTGAACGCTGCCGGGAATGCCCTG